AGTCACAATGCAGAGGCAACTGGGTTGATGAAGCCAAAAGAGCTATATGATGATTTATTTGTCTGTCAGGTGCCGAGGTGTGGTATGAGAGGAGTTGTTTCTATAAACCAAAATGAGGCAGACCACAGGGTAGACGTTGGTAAATGATGAATGTGAAAAAAGTCAATGCCAGAAATGTTATACTTCTGAGGCAAATTAGAAGCCACATTCTCTGCAGACAGTTCTCTCTATAAAGAGAAAGAGGAGGGGGAAAGGAAGGGAGCTAACTAGGTTCCAGGTTCTGTGTTAGGATCTGCTTGTGCTGAGAGGAATATGACATCACCCCTCTTTTCCAGGAGTTCATAAGCTAGTAGGAAAAAAAAAATCTTGAGTATCTGTTAGGTTGCAGGCACATTGCATATGCCATCTCGTTTATCCTCATGGGGAAAGATAAGTAAAAACCGGCGAGGAGTGGCCTTCGCTTGGTCTAGAAAAGGGACAAACAAGAGAATTGGGTGATAAGACCTCATCTGTGTGTCCAGGTCTTCCCAGGATAGAAGATGCTCAGATTGCTTTAAAAACAAAACAAAACTAGCTAACCCCAAACCACTCAGTGTTGTGTTACTTTGGATGGATAAGCTGACATACAGATTCCAGACCTATAAGCCTGGGAAACAGACCTTGGCTCTGAAGTCCCTTCTAAGACATAGCAACCAATGAGGCCCAGACTAAAAGAGCATATCTGATCTGATAAGGCATACAGATAGACCTAGACATACTATGAGTTGGGGCATGGGAACAGTTGACACTGGAGAAGTGTAGGAAGAATATTCTAGAACTCAAAATTTCAGTTGCTAGATCGGAGGCTGAAGCCTGAGCAATCCAGTACAGTGACCGCAGATTTAATATTGGGAGGCAAAAGAGGATAGTGGTGAAATGCACAGACTCTGCAGTCAGTGGCCTGTGTTCAAGTCCTGGGCCTGACACTGACCAGGTATGCCACCTTGAGCACTTTGGCCCTCTGAGTTTTGGCTTCTTTGTTGATGAAATAAGGATATTAATAGTGTTTGCTTCATAGGGTTGTTGATATAAATAAATGAGATAATACATTCAAAGTGCTTAGCAGGATTCCTGGAATATCCAGTTAACAAATATTAGCTGTTGCTATTATTCCAAGAATAAAACTTCAGAAGCAAGCAGAGTTTCAGCTAGAGTTAGGGGTCTTCCTCTGAGCAGTGAAGGAGGTAAAATTAGGACAAGTGAGAGGAACTGCACATAGCAGACAGAAAGATAAGGAACTTGCCATCTTTTCCATCTTTTTTTTTTTTTAAAAGATGACTGGTAAGGGGATCTTAACCCTTGACTTGGTGTTGTCAGCACCACGCTCACCCAGTGAGCAAACCGGCCATCCCTACATAGGGATCCGAACCCGTGGCCTTGGTGTTATCAGCACCACACTCTCCCAAGTGAGCCATGGGTTGGCCTAGAACTTGCCATCTTGAATAGATTGTGCAGGTTTAGGATAGAAGTTGAGTTGGATGTGCCACTACTGTGCCCCTAAAGCCCCATCCTTCCCTACAGCACAGCTTATGTGAAGTGAATTGTGATTGTTTGCTTGTCTGTCTTCTTCACTAGACTGAGCTACTTGAGAGGAGGTACTGTACTTTTCTTCTCTCCACCCTAATTACTTACTATAGTGCTGACACGGACTAGGTGCTCATAAACTTTGGTTGAGAGAATAAATATATTTAAAACAAGCTTAAATTAAAACACACAACAACGCTGTTTCTCTTCTCACTTACTTACAAAAGGGCTTTTAGAAAAATTAGCCCCATAGGTAAAGCCAGATATTATGGAAAGAAGGGGCTTTCTCTCTCTCTCTCTCTTTTTTTTTTAAAAAGACATTTTAATTTTTTTTTCTTTTCTCATTTTTGTAAAGGAAGTGAATTTTAGTTAAGTGCTAAGAGAATCTGTAAACTCACCACAGGTGACAATATCATAACACTGTCACAAGAATTCACACCTATAGATGAGCTAGTGAAAGAACAAAGTTAGTTTTGAAAGGTTAGAGAAAAAGATTTTGAAATGTCAGATTCACTGTATAAAACTGACCACCTTTGGCATCATTCTTTTAATCTACCTGGGTTTGAGAATAGCCCAGGGCATTTGAAATGAAGACAATTAACACCTCAGACAGGGCATCCATATGCAAAATTCTGTCACTTCTCAAGAGACCTCAGGAGGTGACAAGTTTAGACAAGAAGACACTTTCAACCTTGGCTGACAGTTTTTCTAACTTTCAGTGCTTTTATATTTGATTTAAATGGCATCTGTATTCTAAAAGGTTGCAGTTTTCTTTAAACTGTGAAGTTCTCTTCCTCTACTGTATGATTTTTATTTCTTAGGTTATTTTAAAACAAGAACAAAAATCTTTCCCCTATTGGGTGAGACTTGAGGAAACAGGTCTTGCTTCTTGCACATAATGAGTTTAGTCCATGTCTCCTCTGTTTCTCTCTAACGTATGTTTGGCTTTCGTTTAGAGCATAGAATGTTTAAAGCTGGGAGGTAATCTGGCTCAACTCCATTTGACAGGTGGAGAAAAGAAGGCTCAGAGAGAGGAAGTGATTTAGTGGCGAAACATGGAGTATAATTCGATTTTCATAATTAGTGGGCTATTGCTCCTTCCAATTCATCTTGCTGTTTCAAAGGTGGGCCAGAGGCACTGAGAACTAATATTTATTGTGTGTGTGTGTGTGTGTATGTGTATGTGTGTAAAAGATGATTTAAGTATTTTTGTTTTATTTTCTTGAGCACATTAATTTCATTTATTCATCCATTCATTCAACAAATATACTTAGCATCTACTATGTGCCAGACACTGAAGACACAGTGGTGAACATAGTACATGGAATCCTGCCATCATGGACCTTATATTGTAGTGAGGGAGACAGACAATACACAATTAATCAGATAACTCTGCTCCTAAGTGGTTTATACTTGTACTTGGGGCCCATTCTTCCTGACTCTTTTTCCATTTGTGTCTCCATGATCTCCATCGCTTTCCTCTTTCATTTTCCCCCCCTCTTTCCTCTCTTGTGGGTATAGAGAGAGAGGAGGAAGAGAGTCATTTCAATTCCTCTTTTCTCTACACTTCAAGCTCAGTGTGAAGTTTTGAATTTGCTAAAGTCAAGTTTTGTACCAGTGTAGAGCTAGAATGAAGATGTCAGTATTTTTCATCAACACTGCAAGAGTGGGCTGGCTCAGCTGTCAGCTCGCTTGCAAGATGACAATGAGGTACTGGATGAGAGTTGTACTATTACCTTATAATTTATCTGTTCTTTTCTCAGACGATTTTAGTTGTGCTGAGCCCCATCGTACCTGGCTGCTCTGACAGTTGTACTATTTTAGCAACACAGAACAAAACAGAGAGAGAAAAGAAGAATGCATGGTACACTTGTGCTGTCAGATCCAGGTTGTTCTGTTCCTAAGTTTATGGATGATTTGTTCAGAGAAAAAAAAAAAAAAAAAAAAAGGTTAAGCGTTGTTTTTACCTATGTGACATTGAACGTGCTCACAGTTCACCTCACAGGTGGGTTATTGCCCATATGAACTGATATAAGGGATCCCTTTTCCTGTCGTCTCCTTTCACTTTAGAAATTCCACCATTGTGATTAATTTCTCTGGGCTAACCATTTGCCTGCTCGAAATAGGAAGAGTCCAGAGCGGACTAACATTGGAGTATGCACTTGCATATTAGATTAATTTCTCACCCCAAAGCATGGAAAGAGGTGAGAAGTGGAGTTGGTCAAAAACTTGTGAGGGAGGAAAATGAGATAATCTAGGCCCAATTCCCTGGAGCCATCCCTAAATGTCACTTTTTAAAAATTCTTAGTGTTGAAAATAACTGTAGGAGGCTTATGTTTACCCTTTAGCGCTCACTCTTCAGTCAAGAAGGAGAGTTGCTACAGCTACCACTGAAATCTTACAGGATTCTTCTTAGCCCTAGTAGGAGGAGAACACGTATCAGTCTTTGGCGCAAGGCGGCTCAGTGCATCTGATCCATTTATAGGAACTGTGAGGATTTAAACATCCATCTCCCTATTGAGCTGTCAGCCTTGTCATATTCTCAAGGATCTGGGCGCTGAAGTTGTATTGGAAGCAATACGACAGACAACATAGCTTCAGCTGTTTAAATCCTAATTTAAAAAGTGTTTTATATAATCTAAAGGTATAAGCATAAGACCGTTCAGCTTCAGGAATTAAAATCTTATTCTAGTGAAAATGAAGGAAGTTTGGGGGAATATTACTCAGCACATTTTGAAATAGAAGCAATGCTTTACTTCAGAGAAGGAAATGAAGGTTGAAAGTTTTTAAAAAACTAATGACAGTGTAGCATCAATTGAAGAAAAAACATCCTCTAGAAACAACAGAGGGTAAAAGTTACAACACAATTATCAACACTTTCGAAATGATCTAAAACAAGTTTTATGGCTGAAATGAGGAAAGGTGGGCCCCATACATTAAAGGGCACATACAAATCCACATACAGGCAAAGCACCAATTAAATGATTCATTCTCTCCTCTAAGGCCCATCATGTAGATAAATCTGGAACATCTTTGAACATGCACTGATATTTGTACCTCAGCCAGCCCTTTGGGATCTTGGACGATGTGTTGGGAAAAAACAATATTTTCTCAGGACCAAGACTGTTTAAGGTGACTACATGAGGTAGGAGGAGGAGGGCGAAGAAGAATGTGCCCAAAGTCCATTGTTCACCTACTATGTCTGATCCTGAAGGAGTCTCATGGACATTTCACTAGTGATTGGACACTGATAGTACTGATAGTTTTGGTTAGGGGGCGGGGGATCGAACCCCATGGCAAGTTCGACGGAACCAAGCTACTGAATTGCTGAGCTGGTTTTAATTGAAGTGTGAGAAGGAGGTTTTAAGGCAGGTAGACAACATCCTGTTGTTCGGGTGCTTCTCTCTTTTTTGCACATCTGGCTGAACTGGGAGTCTGGTGCCTGACTCGTGCTCGGCTGCAGCAGCAGCGGCGTCTCCCTTGTTACCGTCCGCCGCCTCAGCCAGCCCAAGAGTCCAACAGGCCATGGATGCGGTGGCTGTGTATCATGGCAAAATCAGCAGGGAGACCGGGGAGAAGCTCCTGCTCTCCACGGGGCTGGATGGCAGCTATCTGCTGAGGGACAGCGAGAGCGTCCCGGGCGTGTATTGCCTGTGTGTGCTGTGAGTATGTCGTGGCGCTGGGGGTGGTGGCCCAGCTCCGCACCGGGCCTGGGTCTGGGTCTGGGTCTGCTGAGCCGACGGGAGGTGGGCGCGGCCGGGACCGAGGCGGGCAGGAGCGCGGGTTGGCAGGAGCTTGCCAAGGTCTCCTCCACGGGCCACCCCACGGCCCCAAGGCTTCCTTGGGTCCAACCCAAGGCCATGGTGGACTGTGCTTTGGCCTAGCTCCCTCACTGGGGATTTCATTCCTGGGCCTCTTGCTTTCCAGAAGGAACTCACCAGGGCCTCTGGGACAGTTTCAGAGAATGCCCTTTAGGGTGGGGAAATGTAGCCTAGAATTCACCTTTGTGCGGAGAAAGACCCAGGCTCCCAACTTCTGTTTTGACCTCTAGTAGAGGCCAGCAAGATGGAGCCCTGGGATGATGGATTGGCCAGATTTGGGGCCACCAGCTTCTGAGACAAGAAAAGGCCTCTCTCCAGCTCTCCTCGATTGGCTTTGGGAGCATCATCCCAAAGGAAGAGCATCAAATTCAGAGAGAGGAGGCAGACTAAGAAGCAGAGTCCTTTTCTTTAAAAATGCAACGCCAGTTAGGTGGGGATACTGAGAGGGGCATGTGCGTGAGTGAAACTGCCTCTCTGGATCTGCTTGTTTAGCTTCCTTTAGAGGAGTTGTGTATGTGTGTGTGTGTGTGGGGGGGGGACAGGGTTTTTCAGAAGCAGAACGCTTCTTGATAAAAGCTAGGACTGACAATAATCGTAAAGGGCATGGAGGGAAAACACCCTTGTTATGATTCAGCTTTCCCCTTTGCCTAGGCAGGTCCCAGTCTAACTCCCCATTTTGAGTCACATGCACCTGCATCTTTGCTCCAGGGCTCCAGAGTAAGGCAGGTCCGAGACCCAATCCTGTACTAGTCAGATGCCAGGCTTATGACCTTGGCAAGTTAATCTCCCAGTCCCTCAGTTTTCCCATCCGTTAGAGAGCTGTGAAGATTAAAAACCATAATGCACATAAGAAAAAATTAGCACTGGGCCTGACACATAGTAAATGTTCAGTAAATGTAAGCTACTGGCATTATTATTATACTCCTTTCTTTTCTGTTGATTTCTTTTAGTACTCATAGGGGCATTTCTACAAGGACCTAACTCAAGCAGGATAAAAATACCCATGAAAACAGCAGCCCTGCACAGTATGTTCTAGACAGAAACAAAACTAGGGAAAATGCTTGGTGGAACGTACATTCAGTACTTGTTGATACACTGCACGATTTTGAGGTACCTTCTGGGTCAGTGAAGAAAGATTATACTGAGGCTGGTGTTAGAGGATTTTCATTGTATATTGTTTTTTTTTGTAAATGGCCAAACCTTGTTTGTGGAAGCTCTCAAGTCATGCTGAATACATTTATCATAAAGGCTTCAAGGTAAATACATGGAAGCTATTGAATCTCTTGGGCTCAGATCTTCATGTTGTGCTTATATTATTGTTTTCCCCAGCGGAACCTAGGTAAGGGCAATGAAAGTCAACCAGGATTCTTACGCTCCTTTCTTATCAAAAGAAGGTGGAGGAATAAGTAGGTGAGTGAAAGGGGCTGCTTCAGAGAAGCTGACAAAGGAGGTAATGCACTTCTTAACCTAGGGGTAAAAAAGAAGGCACAAAAGAAGTCTGGGCAGGGGTGGGGGAGCAGAGGACAGTATGTGGCAAGATGTACCTAAGGCTTCAGCCTCACTGGTCTCCTAGCCCTTTTCAAGCTCACTAAGCATGCACCCCACTTAGGGTGTTTGCACTTATTATTCCTTCTGCCAAAAATACATCTGATTCACTTTTTTGTTCAACTGTCTCTTCGCTCAGAGAGGACTTACTTGACTACCTTATCTAGAATAAATGCCCTCTCCCTGTTCCTGTTACATTCCATCTCTTTATTTTTCTTCAGGGAGCTTTAAAGTATCTGTCATTTGCTTGTTTACTTACTGCTGGGCTGTTCTGCAAAAATGTAATCTCCATGAAGACAGGAAAAGTGTCTCTGGCACGAGGAATACAGCCTGGCACATAATAGGCACTCAGCAAGTATTTTTGAATTAACAAGGCAAATTCTGTTCTTTACTGCAAAGAGCTTTGGATTGGTATCAGGAGGTCAGGGTGCGGGCCCTGGGGAAGTCACTCAAATTCTCTAGGCTTCAGTTTCCATATTTATAAAATAGGAATAGTAATGCATATCCTACCTTTTGCAAAAGATTGCTACAAGTAAAATATGCAAGAGAAAGGGACAACTTTAGCCTTTTGCCCATGGAGGCCAGAATTACATAAGGAATCCACTTAGGCATGTGGGAAACTCTCAAACATTTAAATTTTCACCCAAAGTGAATCTTGTATAAATGCAATTTTTATGATGCTTAGTTTTCCATGAAAACCTCCACATGAAGTAACAGAAAATAGGCAGATTCGGAGTCCCCCTACCATGTCTTTTGAACGGTACACTGGGGCCTCAAAGTTTTCAGGGATTATTAGGGTGACAGCCAGACTGTCCTCTAGAGGGAAGACACAAGGATACATTGCCTTTTATCAGAGTTTCTCAACCTTTTTGAGCCATGTCCCTTCCGATGGACATAAACATTTTATTCCCTCTTTTTGGTACTACACTGAAATTACAAAATCAAATTTTAAACCAAAACACTTACGCTTATGATATGCAGTAGAAATAACTGCATAAATGGTGTCATATACACATGAACAACAAGGTATAGTTAAAAGGCATGCATTGATTATAGGGTGTACTCAGAATGATTTCTCCTTCTATCTTTTGTTTATTCCCATTAACCAAGAAGGTTTGGTTGAGCTTCACTTTCTACATCTTTATTGTAGAGATAACACATTTCGTCTGTCTTTTAAACTCTGTACTTTAAACTGTACTTTCAAACTATGCTTGCCCCTTTAACCAGTTCTGAACCCTGTAATCATGGCTTTTAGAAATGACCTTTTCTTCTGTTTAGTTTTAGAAAATTGAATCTCATAAAGCACTAAAGAAATTTTCCATTTATAAGATTGCTCACCTTCACTTAAAGTAGGACGTTTTTCTTCCAATTATTTTCTCTAAATAAATCTAGGTTTTTATATAAGTCTATTAAAAATAATTCCTTATACCTATTCATTATAGAAAATTTGAAAAATATAGATAATGGAAATAAGGGAAAATTCATCTATAGTTTTATAACCTAAAGACAACTTTTGCTGAAAATTAAGTGAATTTTCTTCTGTATTTTAATAAGATGAATTGTTTTTTGAACACACATGTGCTCTTACAATATTGTGTTCTGCTGGATTTCCCACCTAACATGAAAAAAACCCACTCATGTATATCTTACAAATGATTATAAGGCATCATTTTTAATGGATGCATTACAGTCTAGCTAGCTAGTGAATGTACCATATTTTTCCTTAACTAGTCACCTATTTTTAGACATTTGAATCATTCCGTTTTTATTGTTATTATAAATTCCATCATGATTCATATTTCAGTACATAAATGTTTCCTTGTATTTAGGATTATTTCCTTCTAATGGATTTCCAGAAGTGGAGTTTCTAGGTCAGAAAACATGAACAGCTTGGGATTCTTGATATATACACGATCACCAAATATTTTTTCCTAAGTGATTATTCCAATTTATACACTCACCAGTAATTCATGGGAGTGTCCGTTTCACTGAACCCTCCCTAGAAATGGATATTCTCATTAAAAAAATTTTCCTAGAAATTTGGTGTCTCATTCTTTATTTTATATTTATACTCTGTCTCTTTACTTTTTATATTTCTCTGGTTAGTGATTGAGTGTCTTCTTATAAGGTTGTTAAGCTGCTGTGTTTCCTTGTTCATGAATTGGCCGTTTATGTACTTTTCCCATTTAACTATCTGGATCTTATTGTTTTTCTTAACAACACATTTTAAGTCTCTCTATATAAATCTATCTATCAATCTATCTATCCATATATTTAAATATAAATCCTTGATCTGTTGCAGGTATTTTTTCTGTTTGGTGTTTGCCATTACTTTTTTTGACACAAAAAAATTTAACATTTTTAGTACTTAAATATGTCACTCATTTTCTTTGTGTTTGATTTCTTCCTTTGTTTCCCGGCTTAGAAAGTCCTTCTCTACCTGAGATGTCATAAACTTCACTTCAGTTTTTGTTTCAAATTTATGGTTTTGTTAGTTTACGTTTAACTCTTTAATTCCATTTGGAATTCTATTTTGATGTGGATGAAGGATCTAACTTGATTTTGTTTTCAAATAACTATCAATTGTCACAATATTAATTTGTTAGCCTACGTTACCATATAATATGTTCTTAGATATAAAACAGTTATTGTTTCTGGACTGTCTATTTGGTTCAATTGTTCTATTTATTCTTATACCAATAGCACTATAGTATGATAATGTTTTAATATATTTTAAAAGATTATTTGCTATTCTTACCTGTTGGTTCTTCAAGATGAAATCTAGAATCATTTTGTTAAATTCAAAAAAATCCCATTGGGACACGGAAAAAGACAAAAAAAAAATCCCATTGGGATTACGTTAAACTCATTAATGAATTAAGGAGGAATTGACATATTTACAGAATTTAGTCTTCCCTTCCAAAAACACAGCATGTCTCTCCATTTACAGTTCTTTCATTTATATCAGTACAGTTCTGTAGTTTTCTTCTTGTAGGTCTTGCACATTTTTAAAGTTTATTTCTAGTTGTTGTGTGTGTGAATGTGTTGAATTTTTTGTTTTTGTCATAAATGGAACCTGTTTCCACTATATTTTCTGTTGCATAGGAAAGCTACTGATTTTATGTACTTTTCTTGTCTTCATCTAATTTAATGAATGCTCTTATTAATGCAAATAATTTTCTTTCTACTTTATTCTCTTTGGCTTTCTAGGTACATCAAGTATTTTTTTTTTCACTGAGGTACATCTGTGCTCTCACATTTCTTTCTTCCTCATCCTTGATATAGACAGCCATTGG